CACAGAACAAAGAAATTCAAGAATAGCCAGGTTCTTTAGAAGTTCGGAACAGAGCCAAGATGAAGTGCTTGAGTATCAGGATTTTCTTTGTATGACGTCAGTCCCTGTGACCCCTGTTGAGCCTGCTGAGCCCTGCTGCCCTGTGATGCCCCATGAGCCTCCTGGAGCAGGGTCAGCTAATGGGGCCTGGGAGGGTGAGCAAGTGAAATACAAGAGGAGACGCCTAAGGCATCTCAGAGGTAAGGGGAGAGACAGATGTATCTTAATCTTCCAAACCTAAGTAGTTTATCCTCTACTATCAGAGTAATTCCACTGATGGAAATACCAGGGTTGGTGAGAAGTTAAAAGATAAAAGATGCCTCTTGGGATTCAGTGACCTGAATGGCTTACAAAAAAGCTAAAACTTGGATGTTTTAAGTAGGGCAAAACTGAATTCAAATTTGTCTCAAGATGTTGGACACAGAAGCTTCTAAGTCCTTTTAGATCCTTGAAAATAAAGGTGGTAATAAAATAATGGTTTGAAGGTTGTACTAAAAGTCATGTGGCTGCATGTAAGTTGAAGCTGTGCCTCATGTTTACCTAAGGGCCGTTCTCTTTTACTAAAGAAATTTCTTTGCCCCGAAGTTTGAAGAATGTGTTACTTTAAGCTTATTCAGATGACAAGCTGATGTGTTTGTGAGTTGAGTAAATGAGCCAGTGGCTGCCATGTTTTACTGCTGAAGCTGCATAACTTTCTGAAGTGCTACCATCATTCTCCATTTTCAAGCAGGAAAACTAGGCATTAAAGAAGTAAAATGGGCTGAGCAGATAGCTCAGTGGATAAAGCGCTTGCCTGGCACACCTGAAGACCCCCGGAACCTATGGAAAACTGGGCACAATAGCACATGTCTGATCCCAATGGTCTTTTTTTTTTTTTCTTTAAATTGATGGTGTATTTTATTTATGTGTGGTTTTTTTTTTACTTATACTCCCAGTGCCCTTTAACAGTAAGATGGTAGAAAAAGGAGCGCCCCCATGGAAAGCTACGCACAGTAGCACATCTGTAATCCCAGTGCTCTTGACAGTGACTTAGAGGCAGAGGAAGGAGAATCCCCCAGGAGTTCATGGGCCAGCTAAGCTAGGCTGGGGTGCACAGCACAACAGCAACACGTGAGCTTGTCTTAAACAAGGAGAGTGAGGACTGACACCAAGTTTGTGTGTGCACGTGTGCACGCATACACACACACACACACAATAAATTAAAAATTTAAAAGAGAAGTGAAATAACTTGTCTGAAATCATAGACCTGTGAATGGCAGAGCATGACTTTAACTCGTGTTACACTCCAAACCCAAGCAACCACTAAATTACTGCTTCATTTAACTAAATTCCAAGCCCATAAAATGTTAGCCCCATAGGTGCTTACAGCCTTTGTGTATGAATAGTTTTCATGGAGCAACCACTAATAATAGAAGAATCTGGGAAATTCAGACTTTCAGATAAAAGATTCTTCAATGAAATCTGAACTCTTGGGTTGGCTGGAAAGCCATGGTCTAGAAGCTTGCTGGTCCTTGATAGCGATGCTGGTGTGGTGGAGGTTACTAATGATTCAGGGTGAGCATAAATAAAATCCAGTGATTCTAATCAAAGCCTCTCCTGGCCCAGCAGTTAAGAGCACTTGCTGTTCTTACAAAGGACCTCAGTTTGGTTCCCAAGCACCCATATCAGGTGGCTCACAACCACTTATAACTCCAGCTCCATGGGATCTGATGCCTCTGACTTCTATTGGCACCCTCACACAGAAGGCATGCATACACCTACATATAAATTAAAATAAAAAAAAAACACTCAACGAGGCTTTCTTTGCACTTCAGTAAAATGTTTTAAAAACAATTCATGAGTTGACAAGTCTGTTAACAATCTTTGTATCCATCAGCCACAGAATTTCACACCAGTAATCTCAGCACTTCGGCAGCAGAGGCAGATGGTCTACAGAGACCCAGTCTTTTTTTAAAAAAAAAAAAATGCATCCTAAGACCAGTTTTTGAAGATAAATAAGTGTAATTCTTGAAGTTTTAGGACTGGAAGCATGGGTAACTTGTTACATGCTCATAATTTTTATGTATCATTGAACAGTCCTCTGCTGGGAACATGTATTATTTATACTGACAGCTGGGCATGGTAGCGCGTGGCCTTTAATCCCAGCACTCAGGAGGCAGAGGCAGGTGGATCTCAGAGTTTGAGGCCTGCCTGGTCTCCATTAGCGAATCCAGGCCAGCTGCAGCTGCAGGGAAACCTTGTCTCAAAAAGAAAAAAAAAAAAAAAAAAAAAAAAAAGCAACAATTAAAACAAACAAACAAAAAACCAGCAGTATACTCTGTCAACAATAATATTGGTATTTGATTCCCATGTGGCTTTTGATGAACTCTTACTGTTTTCTTGTTTCAGCTTTGGTAATCTAGAACAACCCAGTGCAGATTTACTGCTACAAAAAGACACAAAATACTGAAAATATTAACTACATATAGAAAATTTACCAAAAAACTGAAATCATTAAAAAGCATTCTCTTATTTGCCAAGTCTTAATAAAAGCCTGTGGGTAAGTTAGATAGGATAGGAGTTATTTCAGGTATTTGCTGCATACTGCTTCAGAGGTTCAAGTCTTGTTTTCTCTAAGAAAATTTGTTTGCATATATTGTGTTTTACTTGTATGTTAATTGTATATTCAGTTAGCTAATATACTGTTATCTTTTTTTCTGTATTTACTGCTGGGTTTTTTTTATTGTTGCTTATTTTAAAGGGAAGTAATGTTTAGAAGATGTGAAGCATTTAATCCTTAAATTCTGGAACCATTTGTAAAATATTTTCTCCACATCTGTACTATATTACCCAAGGAAAGAACGATACGTACATTCTGTAGTCTGTGGATGCAAGATGGCTAGTTTAAGAAAACTCAGTTATTTTTCATTTCACACTTCTTTCAACACAATATTCTGTAGTTCTTTTTTGTTTTTGTTTATTTTTTGTTTTTTGTTTTTGAGAAAGGCTCTCACTATGTGGTTCCAGAAGGCCTTGAACTCACTATGGAGACCAGGCTGGCCTTTAACTTTCCTCCTGAGTAGCAGAATTAAAGGCATGTACCACCATGCTTCACTTGTATTCTCTGATTCTAAAATTAATAGTTTAAATTTCAGGGATGGAGTGAGTGGTCATCTACATATAGTTTTTGTTTTGTAACCATTCTCTCATTTATCACTTACTGAAAAGAAATCCGTTTTCCCAGTGGATGAGGCTTTGCATTTTGTAAAGCAGTTGTTTCCTTCTGTTGCATAGGACAGTCTTAGAACACAGAGACATCACTCTATCAGAATTCTTAAATCAGCTAGGGTACACATAGCATGTTATTATTAGTTCAGAAATACCAAAATTTGTCCAACATTTACTCTTTAGATTGTAGCAGGGCTTAGTGTATCCTGACGTCTTTGTTTCTGAGCCCTTGCACAGCAGTGAGCAGAAGGAACAGACTGGAATTACAGCTGGCAGACTGTCTTCCATGGAAAAGTGTTTTGCACCTGAGTATCATCTGTCATTGGTGGAGAAGAAAAAAACTGGAGAGCTTGTTCACTACACTGTGGACAAGTTCCCAGCTTTTTCTTGTCTGACCTGAAATGGTACTCACATGCCAACACATTCCTGTATGTGCCTTTGTCATAGCTATGATGTGCCACCCCAGAAAGCAAGCCAAAGAGACTCAGGAGGATACACCTTATTCTGCTGGAACTTTATTTTTTAAGAACTTGGAATTTTACACCTTAGGAACTTTAGAGGTGGCTCAGCAGTTAAGAGTACTGACTGCTTGGTGTGTGTGTATAAAATATATATTTTTTATTTTTAATTTATTGAGAATTTCTTACATGCATATAATGTGTTCTGATCAAATCCACGCTACTCCCTCCCGTCCAACTCCTCCCATATCTCCCCATCACTTTTTTCTGACAACTTCGTGTACTCTTTTGGGGGGGTGCTACTCTAACATTACCCCCTCTGAAGAGGTAACCCTAAAATCTTGTAGGGGTTAGGTAAGAGCTCCCAAATACTTTTGACATTTTTGGGCCTTTGGAACAGAGTATATTGCCAAGAGGCCCAAGGACATTTTGACTTTTAGCCAAAAAAACTGGCTACTTTGGGGTCTTTTTACCCTAACTGCCTAGCCAATTCCTACCTCCTATTCTTATCACACCATCCTCTGAAGAGGTTACCCAAATTGCCACTAGGGAGTTGGGCCCGCTTGGTATATATTTTGATTATTCATTGTTATTTTTATTTTGGGGGGTAGGATGAAGGTAGCCCTAACTGGTCTAGAACTCACTGTGTAGACCAGGCTGGCCGTAATCTCACAGAGATCCACCTGCCTCTGCCTCCTGAGTGCTTGGATTAAAGCAACAATGACTGGCTGTTATTTTGATTATTGGGTTTTTTGGTTTTGGGGGTTGGGGGGAGTCTTTTGTTTTTTGTTGGGGTTTTTTTTTTTTTTTTTTTTTTTTTTGAGATAAGGGCTCGGCCTCTGGTGTGCTGGGATTATAGGTATTGGTAAACTTTTTGATTTAGAGCCTCTTTTTTTTTTTTAAGTATGTGTTATGCCTCCATGTAGGTAAGTGCACCTGTGTCATGCAATGCCTGAGGAGCTCAGAAGAGGCTGTTGGATCCCCCGGAACTGGAGCCACAGACAGTTGTTAGCTGCCACATGGGTCCTGGGATTTAAATCCAGGTCCTCCACAAGAACAGTCAGTGTTCCTAACCACTGAGCCATCTCTCCAGCCCCTTTAAAGCCTTTATAATACTAGCTCTTTAGCCTTATTTTCTTAGAAGGCATTGAACTTATACTAATAACTACTGAATTAATACTATGATTTTTTTTTTAATGCTATACGGGAATCTCCTTTGTTTAGTTTAAGAATAATTTTGTTTTCCAAGGGTATTTTTGTTTATTTGGTTTGGTTTTTGTGTTTTTTTTTCTTAAGATATCATGAACTGGATCCTTGCAAAAGTCTTTTAGACAATTTGAGGAGCAAAGTCATCATTGAATATCCAACTTTGCATGTGGTTTTGAAAGGATCTTGCAATGACATAAAAGTTCTTCATCAAGGTAAGTATAAACTTGTTCCTTTGGTTCTTAATCTTGAAGAAGCAAGCAGTCCTGTGGCTGCTCTTTTTTATTTGTGTTTTCAAACTTAGAATTTTCTCTGTACCTCAGTCCATAACATAAAGTACCAGATGAGCAAGCTGTTTGCTTCTATACCATCCACAAGTGTGTGAGCTCATAACGTTGATTTAAATAAGTCAGATTATCTTACTGCAAAAGGATATTTTGGCTTTATTAGAGTTTCCAGATAAAATTTACTATCTACTTAAAACTCTTGCAGTTCATACAATGAGAAAATACAAAACAGTTTCAGTGCCCTACTTCCTAGCAAAGGATGATATTGCAAGGAACATTATGTTTAAAATCTGGGCTACATTTAACTAAGCTTATGCCTTGACCTGCTATTTACCCATTTAAATTCACTCTTTCATTTCCTATGATTTTGTTCCATTGGCCATATGGGGAAGGATTTGAACTAGAAATGATATGTGTAACTGCTTGATATATAAAATTATCTGTATTTGCAGCTACTGATTAAAGTAATATAAGTGTGTTGCAGAGTAAAGAGTGTAGAGGTTGATTAAAAGGCAGTAATTACTTGAAAAGGTGAGAAAGATTATTCAAAGATTACTCATTTCAGTTAAGAAATAATAGATACAGGCCAAGTTTTATTGTAACAAACTCTAAAGGAACACAGACTTCTTGGATGAATCTGTATTTTTTTCAAAAGTATTATTCAGCATACATGGTTCACATTTTATTGACATGCCAGTATTTCAGGCAATGACTGGCAGTAGGCTGTGTTGTGAAATATTCTCTCCATGTGTATATAATTTTTTCTTTCTTGGTTAAAGTTAGCACATTTTTTTCCCCAAAAATGACCAAAATTGTTTCAGTGCCACCTCTTGAAGCTAGATTTTAATTAGCAAGTTTTTAATAATTATAAGCCACTGAACCTTATTTTTTCTTGACTTTGTTTTTCATAATTTGAGAACATCTAATTTTCTCCGATTAGGGATTTCAGTTTTAAATAATCACTTTCACTTTTTAAACTTCGTGAGAACTTACTTTTTCTTACCATAATTAACATAATGTTAGCTCTTCTAAATGTTGGTTTTAGGCAAGATGTTCAGTAATGTGAGTTACTGGCCAGGCAAACATGACTGTGTAAATAAAGGCTGTGCACACAGCTTGTCTTTTACCTTGTTTAGGAGAAACATGTTCAAGTCAGGCTTCCTGTGGGGAAGCAATAAGAGAAGAGTAATTCAACAGTGTGCTTGGAACCCTGTGTAGAACTGACTGCTTTTTTCCTCCTGGGTATATGGCGTTTGACTTATTTACAGACACACAGAGGCAACTCTTGCTTTCAATATAAATGGTTGCCTAGGGCTGCTACAGCAAAGAAGATCTGACAGAACTCCAGGATCCTGTCCAAGCTGTCACATCCTAAGTCACTCCCTTAACAGTAATAGCAGGTCTGTGTGTATACATTATTTTTCTTAACACTTCAAGGTATCTGTTTCTTTGTACAGTCTTGTAGCATTTGAAATTCCGCAGGATGGTCCCTTGGTGAGGAAGGGGATTATATAAGAACAGAGCTTTTTCTTTGACAACTATGAAATTTTTGCTCTCTCCAGAGATGAAAAAAATTGAATTTTAATCCTGAGTTCGTAGCATAAAGTGTTTTTTTTTTTGTTTTTGTTTTTTTTCCTATTTTGGGAAAAATGTGTTTTGGGGCTAAGATGCAGTGGTTTCCACAGTTGATAATTATTATGATGTTTGTTATGGTTGTAGATTGCCATAATTTCAAGTCCACCTATAGTAATAAGCAAGGGCAAGAGGGCTTTTGGGGGGTGTTTGCTTGTCTTTCCTTTTTTTTTTATCTTTTGAGACAGTCTCCCTTGTAGCCCCTCCTGGCCCTGGAGCTACACTATATAGACTGGGTTGACCCCTCCCCCCATCTGACAGGGATCCAACTGCTGGAACTAAAGGCGTGGATCACCACACCCTGCCTTCCTTCCCCTTTTTAGGAGTAAGAAAGGAGGGCTGTAAAGGTTAAGCACTAGATAGGAGATGAACGTACCAGTTACTCACTTTGTATCTGATCCAGTAGGAAGTTCTGTATCCATCTGAGAGTGGTGTGAACTATGCACAGGCGCCTCAATGCCAGAGTTAGATTTGCAGATTTGAATGACTTAATGAAAGCAGGCTGCATTTTCTTCTAGTGGAAAAGAATAGAACCCTATGTAAAAACAACTAGACAAGGGCTGGAGAGATGGCTCAGTGGTTAAGAGCACTGGTTGCTCTTGGAGAGGACCCAGGTTCAATTCCCAGGTTCACATGGCCGCTAACAACCATCCGTATCTACAATTCAAGGGGATTCAGTGCTTTCTGTGGGCACTGCATGACATTGGTGCACTTACCAACATGCAGGCAATGCCTTCGTGCACATAAAATAAAAATAATAAAGAAAATATTAAAGAAAACAGCTAGACAGTTTTAATAACATGTTCTATATTGTAACAAAGCTTCATTTATTAAGACGCCTGCAAAATATATTTCTGTGATAATCTGACTCAAGCTTAGAAAATTTCTTTATGTTAGAGAAAGGATCCAATTCAAAATTAATTACTTGCATTAGTGAAAATCCTTGACAGCACCTCTTCATATATCAGTCTCTTACTAGACCAACAAATTATTTATTCTCTCCCCCTTTCCTCCCCTCATTTTTTCTCCACAGTCTTTTCTGTCTTTCCCTCAGGCACATGAAAGCACAGGTCTCCTTTGTAGCACAGTGGTGCTATGACAGCCTACAGAAAGTGCACAGGAAACCAGAGGAGAAAATAAGCTTGTAGTAACGCATCATGCAGGCACTTGAAGAGTCTCCTGTAGTTCATGAACCTCCTCAAGGAGGGAGACTCTTGTCTTAGGAGGAATTACTTTAGTGCCTGCCTCATAGAAAAGACTCAGTGAATGCCTTTTTTTTTTTTTTTTTTCCCCTTTTTGAGACAGGGTCTCCTTATAGCCCCAGGAGCCCTGGAACTTACTATGTAGATCAGGCTGGCCTCCATTGCCTGCCTCTGCCTCCCGAGTGCTGGAATTAAAGGTGTGAGCCACTACCCTCAGTTTAGTGAATGTCATTTTGATTGCAAATACAACCTGAAATCTAAGCAAGCCCCAAGGAACTTGTCAGTTATAGTATGAGGCAGAGGTCCAGGTTTGTTTCTGGCATCAGCTCCCTCTGCCTCTCTGAGCTTTATTTTCCTTATCTACTTCATGGAAATAAACAGTATAAACCTTAAGCAAAATAATCTGAATCCTTTTTAAAGATCTATTTTATCTGTGGGGAGGGCCCACATGTACATGCATATAGGTGCTCTTGGAGGCCAGAAGAGAATGTCAGATGCCCTGGAACTGGAGTTACAGGCATTGTGAGCCACCCAGTGTGGACGCTAGGAACCAATTCTAGTGCTCTGATAAAGCAGCAAGTGCTTTTAACTGCTGCGTCATCTTGCCAATCCCTAATCTGAAATTTAACCTTAGCAATTTTAAGTGCATTTTTAGTGTATCGTTTCCTTTTACAAAGTTTCTTGGGGGCTGGAGAGGTGGTTCAGTGATTAAGAGTGATGACTATTCTTGTAGAGGACCTGGGTTCAGATTCCAGCACCTACATGATGGCTAACAGCCGTCAATACCTCCAAGGGATCCAATGCCCTCTTCTGGCCTCCATGGACACTGTATGCACATGGTACACTTCACTCATTCACACGAATGGGTGAATGAATGAATGAATGAATGAATGAGTGAATAAATAATGATTTTTTTTTTTAAGTTTCATGATACAATGAAATAGATAGAAAAGCTTATCTGTTTCCCAGTTTGCAGATTTAAAAGAAAAACACTAAACAATGGTGTGGCTTACATTTGCATTGATTCTGTAGACCCCTGTGCACTCTACAGATAGACTATCCTCAAGGTGCTGGATTTAGTGTTAAACTTGATGGTGCTGTCCCCAGGCATGACACAAGCTCCATTTTTGCTCAGTCTTCTTTCCTGTGAAGGAGGACGTTGATTGACTGCCTTGGCTTCTGTCCGCCCACATTCATTCAACACGTAATGACCCTCAATTTTAAGTTTAGAAAATATCTATATGGAAATTTTTTTTCCAACCACATGTGACCAACCTATGTGATAGTGGTGATCTGTTTAGTGGCCTGAGTGTAGGATCATAGCCGCACTGTGAGTGTCCATTCCCAAGTCTTCCGCTGAGTCAGGATGGACGTAACCCCACAAAATATAATTGCCGCTTTTAGACATCATTTCTATTTATTATGGTCAGATTTGTCTATCCAGGCTGCCCAGGACACGGCATGGTGTGTCTGCCCCATGAGCAGGGCTGTTGCTACACATCAGAAAGAAGAGGCAAAGAAAAAAACAAAACCAGCTGAGCGGCATAAACATTTGACTGAATGTTTACTTATTTTTTTCCAGTGAAAAGTGAATCTGCCAAGAATTTTGGCAATGAACATTGAGCACTTCTGGAAGAAGATGAAGATTCCCAGGCAGCTGCAGAGGGTTGTGTGTTGCTGGACTGCTGGATGATTTGGGGTATTGTCAGTGGGTGGTTAGAATTTTTTTGTCTGAAAAATAATTAAACCATCTAAACCTTCCTTTTCAAAAAGAAAAAAAAATGTATTTTATAGCCTCTCGAATTAACTGACATAAAGCCTCTTCTTTCAAAGGATGAACGCCTTTGCACTTGATACATGTAGCACTCATTAGGCTTTTAATATGCTTAATTCTGTAAGCTGAAGACATTTTGTTAGATTGACACAAAACCAAACCCAAGGATCACCTGTGTCAGCCGCAAAGTTGACCTTCTCTGTAGTCGACCCTTCCCGGAGAGAATGACACACAGGAGACCATCTAGCCCAGGGAAACTGGTTCTCCAACAGTTGGCCTTTGTCGTCTTTGGGGTTGATGTGTAAGTCACCTCTCTTAAGACAACTCCTATACTGGAGAAACTCCCAGTACAATGTCTTCTGAAAAGGCCAAGTAAATAATATTAATTACTATGTGTCTATTCAGTTAAAAAATCAGTAGCTCTACATTGAGTGATCAGTGATGACAAACCTGGCTGTTTTCACACAAGTTCTTGTGAATTCTGTGCCTCAGCCAGTCCTCTCTCCTTATCATGCAGGGATACCGTGATGGCGCCTGCTGCGTTTTGATACACTGAGCAGTAACTAAAGAAAAAGAGCATACTTGGAACTCCAGTGTGTCACTGAAATGTATGGATGTGTATTTATGTATATAAGTGGCTTAATGTATACCTTATGACAGTTCACATGTTGAAATTAAACTGATAATTTCATTGGCATTTCTACAGTTATGAAACTGCAATTTGACAGTGAAAGAGTCAGTATAGCATTACTACATCTGTATTGCATCTGTGTACTTGATGTTTAGAAAACTGGTAAAATTGAACAGTAATGAAATTCATTTGGTTTATAAGTAGAATAAGTTTCAGACCAAAAAGAAAACAAAGGCTTTGAAGAAACTTAGGATTAGAATTATGAAAATACAGTAAAAGGAGCATAGAAGAAATTTGAAGACTATAAATGTATATATATGTAACTTGGGACAGAACACTGTGGAAGTGCAGCTCATGGAAGATAAGCGGTCGTGTGAGAATAGAGCTGTATTCGTATCCAACAGCCTCAGGAACCTGACATGGCAAAGGGTTCTTACAGAATTATGTTTGCAATATCACTGGCTAGACAGCTAAGGGATCAAGTCTAATCCAAAAGTGACATTTGGATCACTAAAAAAGGTGGGAAGAGCTGAATCAAATGGTCATGGAGTTGTGGGAAGTGGGCAAAAGTACAGGAAGAACATGCGCTCTGAGTATCAGGTGGAGAGGAGTTTCCTCACAGGGCAGCCTGTTATGCTGTTGTCTCAATGCTAAGAAAAGTATTGAACTCTATCCCGTCTAGAATTTAAGTTGAAAATTGGACCCCCCCAAATTTTTTTTTTTTTCTGTATTTTCCTCTGCTGCCTAGGAGGTATGGGGCAGCAGAGTTCACCTAAATACAACTGTCAGCACAGTTGATTGATATGTGTATTTATTCCTAAGTGATTTATGGTAAACATGTTTTAATGAATAATCATGTCAGACTTGAGGGGGTGAATTTGGAATGATTTGATGATTGCCCTAGAAGCCTGTACTGTTAGAGCCCAATTTCTTTTTATTGGCCCTTTCTCTTTTAGATTCTTGACAAATTCTGATGAGTAAACAGACTCCTTGATTGATGTGAAGTTCAAGACCCTGCAGTTTGTTCATGAATACATTTTAAGATGTGAAAAGTTCCACTTGGCCTTTTATTTTTCAATGATTTTAAAAAGAAAATAATTTCATATTATACATATGAAGTAAAAGGGCTACTGTGATGGATATTTAAGAGTCTAAAGCACAATTGAGCCATTGAGCCAGTTGGTTTCCCTGTAGCAAGTATTTAGGATTCAGGCTTCACCAAGTCTAATAACATGTTAAGTACATGACTGAATGCCAGTTTCCTTTGTACATTTGGTTTGATAAGGTTGACATGCACTGTGTGGCATACCTATTTCAGATTACTTAACTCATACTACCTCAGTGTGTTTTACTTACTAAGATGAACTATGATATAAACATATTCTGTACTGAGATGTGGTGGACTATATTGTCAGCTTAACCAAATTCAGGGCTGGGGAGATGGCTCAGTTGGTAAAATGCTGTGGAAGCACAAGGGCCTGGGTCTGAACCTCAGAACCTGCATTTCTAAAAGCCAGGCTTCTAATCCCAGCACTGGAGAGATGGAGATAGGTAGGCCACTGGGGCTTGCCAGCCAGCCAGCCAGCCTGTCCTCCTCGATGAGTTCACTGAGGGAAACCAAGGTGGATCACCCCTGAGGGACGACACCCATGGTTGTCCTATACATGTACACATGTACACGACACCCATGGTTGTCCTATACATGTACACATGTACACATAACACATCTTTTAACCTTTGACAAGCAAGCTGTACGGCTCTACTAGATCCTGTTTCGGATTCTTGGTAAATAAAGTAAATTTCATAGCCTCACTATGGGGCCTTTTCTCTCCCTTTTCACACTTGACTGTGATGTTAAATTGTGAGCTCTAGAGTTAAGTATAGTATCATCATCCATGTTTTATATGGAGAAGGAAACTGAGGTCTAGTCAGATTTGAGGAATGTACTCAAGACCACCCAGAGTGTGGAGAGGTGGGCCAGCATTTACCAAGGCAACTCGGATTTCTTGCGTCCATCCTTAGCCTTTAGACTCGGGCGTCGTGGTGTGTTCTCCAGTCATGGGCTGTTCTGAATTCCTGCTGTGTGCCATAACATGGAGAACCGTTTACTGCTAGTTTAAAATGGAAATAATTATTTTAATAGTTTATCAAACACATTTATATATACTATTTTATGAATTCTTCGATAATTTCGTACATACATACAATGTATTTTGATCACCTTCACCTCCTGTTCCCCCTAACTCTTTCTTGATCCATCTCTCACTTCCCTCCCCTGTCCCAACTGCATGCCCGTTTAAAAACAAAAATTATTCACCAAGTCCAGTTTCTGCTGTCTGTATATTCATGGGTATAGGGCCATCCACTGGAGTACTTGACCTACCAGAAGCCATATTCTTAAAGAATACTCCCTCTCCCAGAAGGCATCAAATATCAGTAGCTTCTCAGCTAGCCCACTTCCCCTCCAAGCTGGACTGTTGACTGACTTTATCATGTGCAGACAACCACAGCTGCTGTGAGTTCCTGAGTGCAGAGTCCTATGGTGTCCAGAAGACCTGCTCCCCCGGCCCACGCACCTCTGGCTCTATAGTCTTTCCACCCCCTCTTCTCAGAAAGTTCCTGAGCCTTGGGAGGAGGTGTGATGCAGATGTCCTATTTGTGACTGAGCACAGACACATTCTCTGTACTTTGGCCACTTGTGAACTTTGGCATTAAACCCTTTTCACTACACAAAGCAACATCCCAGATGTCTGAGAGCTGCACTGATCTATACACCTTATTTTTTTGAGACAAGGTCTCATCTATCCCAGCCTAACCTCACTAAGCCTCTCTACTTAGCCAGATGGATTTTTTTAAACACCTGATTCTTCTGTCCCCAACTCTCAAGTTCTGGGATTACAGGCATATGCACCTTAACCCAGTAAACCCATTAATTTTTTAGGAGAACTGTTCATAATTTGTGAGACCACTTTTCTTAGAGACTCCCTTCAACCATGGAAAACAGCTGTTTCTCCCAGACGGCTTAGCACCCACCTTGTGTCTGTGCCCATGTTACTGGCATATTTTGCTGATCTGGGTATAAAAACTTCAGTCACTTCACTTAGCTGCTTTGTATTAACACCAGTTCCTTTGATTGGCCTTCAGGACGTTGGTATCTCATCTTTTTCATTGTCCTTTGAGAAGTGTCTGCAACGGAACTGAGCACTGCTCAAAGCTGTTGCTGCAGGCGTGAGATGGCATGGCTTTCCAAGACTGCTTGATTAAGGGGCCCACATGGAAAGGATACAGGTGTGCAAAATTAACTTAGTGATTGTCTTGTTGACATTATAATTGAGCATCAGAAGGAACTTGTGCTTGGCCTTCTGGTGAATACAACTGTAGCCATTGGGCCATGCCTGTAGATGGGACGGGCTTAAGGGGTTGAGTTTCAAGGGAGCTATTGCAGGCACTGGGAGGTAATATAATTTCATGACGTGTTGGAACTCTTGGGAAAGGGGTCAGGAGTGGAAATGTTTGGAGAAAATCCATGAAAACACCAGAACAGACAAAAGTAAGATCTTTTAAAATCTGAGTGTTCAACTATACAACCAAGAGGAAAACCAAACCATGTGATTTTTTGGTTTATTTTTATTTTATATGTATGAGCGTTATCCTGCATGTATGTAAGTGCACCTGTGTTGTGCACTGCCCACGGAGGACAGAAGGTGTCGGATCCCCTGGAATTAGAGTTATGGACAGCTTTTAGCTGACATGTGGGTGCTGGGTTTTAAACCTGGGTCTTCTGCAAGAGCAGCCAGTGCTCTTAACTGCTGAGCCATCTCTCCAGCCCAATTTTTGGTTTTAAAAACAGGCTTCCTATCTTCCTCAGAGGGACAGAGACTCACGTAGTGGTTTCACTTTTTTATTTCAGAAAACTCAGTTTCTCCCAGGTTTCTGCTTAGCACTCTAGTTATTTTTACTGTTAGAAGAAATCGTCACATGCCACCTCTTGGTATCTTGATTTCTTTTGGCTCCTGAGCAGTAGATTCTAGTTTAAGTCCATATGGTATAAATCTGTGGTGCAAAGACAGTCCCTAAAGCCCAGTAACTTCTTGTTTTTCCTAGAGCCCTGTGGGCCTGCTTTTGACTGTGCTGGTCTGTGTTCCCAAAGAAAAACAGTAGAGTCCAATCTGTGTTTTGAAGTATTGGGGGTTGGTTAACCAGATGCTGTGATTCTGTGTGGAGCCTTCGCCAAGGTAGAAGACACAGCTGCCTTTTCCATGTTCCTGATAGACTGGAAGGTGTTTTCAAGTTCTCTGCTTCAGAGCTCTCCTTGGAAACGTTGGTCAGTTGTTCAGCCAACATCCCTGGCCTCTGCAGCTGGAGCAGCTTCGAAGCCTGGAATAGTTTCTGCCACATTTGGACCCACACAAACAAAACTTCTAAGCACTGGAAATGGAAAACCCGAGGTGGCGAAGGAAGCCAAGAGAGTGGCCATCGGTCTTGACCATCCAGGGAGTGGACTCTGTAAGAAGGAAGCACTGTGTGTGGACAGTCAAAGGCAGAGAATGATCCAGATATTCTTTTTGTGCTTTCCTAGGTGGTAAGGAGAGCACTTGTGAGGCTTGGCTTGATGTTTTTAAAAGCAGTTCTTTCCCTTGACCAGCTTGTCTACCCTTGGGAGTGAGAGGGAAAGCAAGTTTTTTATCAGGTCTTTTAGCCTATCCAAAAGTACTTTGTTTGAGCTTCAATTATTTAGTCCCCTCAAAAGCTTTTTGTAATAGTCTATCATCTATGGTGCCTTTTACTTCTCCAAAGAGGAGTACTGAGTCTGGAAAACTCAGACTCTTAAATTGTATTAAAGGGATGGTAAAAATCTATTGTTTGCTACCCAACACACACCCCCTTCTTTCTGGTAACATCTTGAGTCTCTTTAGGAACTACCACCTTCCTCTGTTCTTAGCCATCAAGTGTAGATGGGCTTAAGCGATCTCCTACTGGGAGTGCTCAGTCTCCTGCCCCTCCAGTCACCTATTCAGGCACAGACTCTGCTCTGCTAGAAGGCTAACATGGGCTAACCCATTTTGCTACTTTGAGGAAAGCTAATTCTGTTGATGACTGAGAGAAAGCCAGTTGAGTCTTTGTTAAGCCATGCCATCCGTCCCTGCAGTAACAGCCAAAATACAGCTTTTATTATTTTTCCTGTAGCTATAGCAGGATTTGATAACCAGGAAGTAAACTGTAGTAGGTCATCACCGCTGGATTACAGAATTTGCCAAATAAAGAGGAACCTCGATAGTCTAGGCTACAACATTGGTAAGGGTTGGATTGGTCCACAACAGAAAACAATCCTAGCTGTCTCTTTAAGAGGCTTCTGGATGTTGTACATAGCACTCTGTCTACATCCCATTTACAGGTCTTTTGCCATGTAGAATGGAAGACTGGCTTGGCAGTTTTGCTGTTTTTACTAAAATTTGTGGATATTCTTACTAAGGCAGAGGGTTCAATGGGGGATTGGGAGGAAAGTCATGGCCACAGTTGCCCATTGGCAGGTCTTACCTTGTAATACAGTAAAGTCGTTGGTTGTTCTATTGTTTGATGTATTTTGGGATCTTTCAGTCGATAGGTCTTCTAGGCTGTGGCATCAAAAGATTTGGACAAAAAATTTAGGCTGAGCCAAATCCTGGCATAGATGGGGTAGATGATCTCTAGGCCCCACCCCATACTA